TCTTGAATTTAGGCACGGTGTTCGCTTCTACTATATGCTGAGGCAGGTCGTTCCAGACATTCACCACTCTGCGTTCGAAACAGAGTTGATGGGCGACCCGCTTCAAATCAGGGACGATAAGTTTATACCGGTATCCTCGCGTGCAGCTTGGTGTGCGCAGATGAAGTAGTTGTCTCAACATGGGGTAATCACCCAGATGTAATATCCGGTGCGTCATGATGAGGTCAACCCTCAGCCGACGATAAGATAGGGTGTACAGCCCTAGTTTCTTACATCGGTCTTCGTATGACATACCTCGTAAGTTGGGAATCAGCCTGGTGGCTACATGCTGCACCCGCTCAAGCTTTTCTACTTCGCCCCGGGTGATGGGACAGTATGCGGGAGTGCCGTACTCCAGCATTGGTCGTATTATCGAGACGAAGAGGCGAGTGGCAATCTCTTCGGATCAAGTGCTGAATCTGCGCCTGAGAGCCCAAAGCATACGAAGGCTGTTTTGGTACAGCCTATTCGTGTTGTCAATGGACTTTAGGTCGCAGCGTGAGAGTACACCGAGGTCGCGCACGAAAGGAGCGGGATGCAACGGTTGACCAGCCACTGTGTACGTTCGGCCGTGATCATACTTACCCAACCTCATGAATTGCGACTTGGCAGGGTTGATCGGAAGGTTAACCTCTGCAGACCATGTTGCGAGGCGGTCGAGATCCTGCTGAAGTAGATCGCAATCATCGAGTGTGCGGATTACCCTCCACACTTTCAAGTCATCTGCGAACAAAGCACAATGTGATTGTAGTAGCTGAGGCACATCGTTTATATGGATTAGAAACAATATCGGGCCCAGTACAGTGCCTTGGGGCACGCCGCTGCTCGATGGATACCACTCAGTTAGATGGTTGTCCACCTGGACTCTCCACTTCCGATCAATAAGGAAATTTCTGATCCATTTGTGCAGCGAACCACCAACACCGCACATCCTCAGTCTGTCAAGGAGCACTGCATGGTTAACCTTGTCAAAAGCCTTACTGAAGTCAATGTAAATGACGTCAACCGATTGGCCTTTGTTCAGCGCTTGTAACCATTCGTGCCTCGTCAACAGTAGGTTGGTGATGCACGAACGACCTTTCAGGAAACCATGCTGTGCGGAGGTTAACAGGTTTTTCGACTCGAGAAGTTGCAGAAGGCTCTTCTTCACGATCTTCTCGAGCGTCTTTGCCAAAACTGCCGTCAGGCAGATCGGCCGGTAGTTATCCACTTTGCTTGGGTTACCACCTTTCGGGATAGGCTTTACGACTGAGCATTTCCAGTCGTCCGGTAGTAGACCAGTGGATAGTGACCTGTTAAACAGTTCAGTTACAGAAGGTGCAATTATGGTCGATAATGACTTGAGGATTAGTGGGTGTATACCATCTGGCCCAGCAGGTTTCGTCCCGTCAAGATTTGCTAGAATCTTGCGTACATCCTCAATATTGCAGTCCAGGCTGTTAAGTTCGGCTGGAGCGGTGCTCGTCGAACTCATTACAGACACCTGGTCACTTGCGAATACGGAGGCGAAGTGCGTTGCCAATGCTGACGCACGATCTGTACTCGAGGTTAGGGGCTGTCCTTCTGAGCCTTCTAACACTGGGATATTAGCTATAGACCTTAGGCGCTGCTTCACATATGCGAAGATCCTCTTGGGAGCAGTTTTTGCGGCAGAAGCAAGCTCCTCTTCGAAGCTTCTGCGCTTGCTTGTTTTCGCGTTGTTGCAGCGATTTCGATGTACATTGTACGTCTTGTAGTCCTCATCAGAGCCAGATAACACGAATTTGTTCCATAGTCTACGTCGCCGTCGGGCCATTTTGTTGTACTCTTTGTCAAACCAATGTGGTTTGACTGGCCCAACTTTCCGAAATTTGAGGGGCACAAATCGGGCGCACAACGATTTCACTGCCTCTTTAATGATAGCCCAACAGGTTTCAATAGATGAATCCTGTGGTAAAGCCCAGTCTATCTGGCTCGCTGCTCGAATGAGGCCATTAAAGTCCGCCTTCCAATAGTTGAAGGTTGACTCTAGTGGGAGAGGATACGGTAGCGGTAGTTCTAAACTGCCTATGATCACTGAGTGGTCACTCGCTCCCAGAGGCTCTAAGACTTGAATGTTATGTACACGCTGCTCACAGCTAGTCAACAGCAGGTCTAAGCATGATGGAGTCGCGCGCGCTGTAATGCGTGTCGGTTGGTTGATGTGCTGTGTGGCCGCGGTTTCAAATATCAACTCCGTAAACTTCCTCTCGACTTCACAGTGGCCGGGGAGAAGTTCAGCTTCAGGCCACTGTATTCGGGGCAAGTTGAAATCGCCCATGAGTAGGAACATCGGACGACTCATGTGGTTGCGGACATGCGGCAACCAGTCCAAACTGCGGCTCAGTGGGCTGCGATATACCACGCCCACGTGCAACTCGCAGCGTCTGAGGTGTATCGAACACCATAACTGCTCACATAGACCATCAGCGCTTTGATAGGCGCTCACTAGTCTCCCACACAAGGAAGACTTTATGTAAAGTAGAACGCCACCGCGATCATTTGATGGTCTATCGCAGCGGAAGCATGAGTAGCCGGTGATTTCCACTTCTTGGGCGTTTACGTCGGAGTTTAACCATGTCTCAGCAAGGCCTAATACGTCCGGTCGCTGAGAGCTTACGAAGTCGTACAGCACATCGCGCTTGTTCATCAAACTGCATACATTAGTAAAGGCTACGCGCAGACCGCGGTAGGACCCGCTGGGCGCGCCTGAAGTATTAGCAACCTGTTGATCCGGATTCGTGGAGGAACCCGGGCAACTACTCGAAAATTTACAATACGGAGGTTTGTTTCTCCATCCTCCGTGCGCCGCTTTAATTCAATCATGGCAGACTTGAGTTTCTCTCTGTCTGCCGGTTCTAAGTCAGCGCGCACGTGGATCTTCAGACCCTTCAGCCTATTAAGGCGAGACAATAGTAACTTGGTACTTGCTTCTTCGACAAATGTCACCCTCATGGGCCGACTTTTGCCCTCCATTCTCTTTCCTAGACGGGCGATCTGCTGCACTTTGAGCCCGTCCTCATTTACATCGAGTAGTTTGTCAATCAATGATTGCAAATATTCGACGTCATGTGCATAACGCACCTGAGGATTAGAATCACCTGACTCAGGTGCGTAAAAGACCATGAGGCTACGGCGCCTCAGGTCATTAGATATTGGTCTTGGTTTCTTCGATGTTTGTACTCTCCAATCGTTATCCTCAGTTTGTTTATTGCAAATTGGAACTTTACTGTCAGCTGAACATATAGTAGGTCTTGAGGGAGAGTCTGATGGAACTTTAGTACCTTGTTTCCGCGATGGATGCGATGAGGTACTAGGCGTTGGCTGCTTCACTGACTGTGGTGAAGCACAAGGCGAGCTGGGCATTTTAGAGCACTTCGTTGTGCTGATCCGCTTGTTAGACGTGTCCGTTTTATTCTGCACAAGATTAGCTTGGCATTGCTTACAAACGGCCTTCAAAAATTCGCTCTTAATGCCCTGAATTATACGAAATTGGTCTACAGTCAGACCAACGCACGAAATATGAAGCCTTGCGCTGCAGAGACTGCATGAAATCGCATTAGCTCTATGTCCGACGATCTTGCAGCAAATTCCACAGGGAGACTGCTTCGTCATTTTAAAAATAACTACGATCGATATGAGCAAATGGGTGTAATTAAGAGATACAGAAGTTATGCTGAATTATTACAGATAGTTACGAAGTATAACGCTAAATGACTAGCTAGAATTAATTATGTGAACTAGAGGACGACACTGTTATAACAATAAAATCAACGAGATAAAATTGGCCTAACAGGAGAAGGGCACGCTACCACTAAGATCGAAAAATCGCTAGGAGGACAAAAAACGAGAAAATTACGGCTAATATATATCTAAATATATCACCGGAAAACGCAGAATCAAATATTATATCGAACTATATAACTCACGACAAGATATAACAATATATGACACAATAATAATGAAAAAACTGGCCTGAGAGCGGAGCGAACGTTTTTTCAAACCGAAGGCTGTGGCCTTGACCTTGAGGATGAATTTGATAAAAATAAATATGAAATATCTGCTCTGCACAAACTAATGGACGATGCATACCGGTCTGTCAAATAGAGCGAGAAAAGCCGTCCGGTGAGCGCTATTCTCAATATAGCTGTTATGACCATGTTTTGCAAGCAACCTGACCATTGCACCAATAAAATTGCCCGAAGCCATCCTGCGTCGTAGCAAGCTTCACACCAGCCAACAGAATTCGCTTGTGTATTTCAAAGTGCCCAGAGAGGCAACCAGTCCGAATGAAGCGTGAACACTAACGCCTGAACTATGCATAAAGAACAGCCCCGTAGCGGACGACATTCGCCTCCGGATTGTCTGAAAGTCCATTAAATGTTAACGAGTTATTTGCTATTATGCACTGGAGATACCTCCTAGCTTGGCGGCGAAGCGTCTGCAATAAAAGTACAGAGTCAGGAGAACCAACCAAGAACTCACTCCATAAATATAATATCTCTCGACAAAGCGATACATGGTTTAGCCCGTACTGATAGATCATACTATGAAAGATTTTTTCGCAGTAGGTGCATTAGGTTTTCACTGGTTGGGCGGATATTTGGTCCCATCATACGACGCTACTTTAGACGATTCTTGCAAAAGACACAAATTACTAAGTCAACATTGTTGGCTGTTAGGTCAGACCAAAGTCTATTGCGTACAGAAAGGAAACAAATTTACTTGTTCAGGAAGGTAAGTGCGCAATTTCCCCAAGTAACCGTGTGCCTTGTATCAGAACATTCTCAGTTACACTCAGATTAGAGTTTTCTGTGTGGCAGAACATTCGTCACAATGGCTTGTTTCATACCACTCACATGTCGCGTGATTCATTGAGATCGACAAATTCAAATTAGCACTCAGCCATGATTTGAACTGTAATCAGAGTGTTTTCATACCCACGTCGGCCCGGGCAGCGTTTTACAAATATACTTCCTGTCCGGTGCGTTGTCTTTTGACTCGCGTGGCGCAAACTAACGAGTGGCTAAGTCGAACCCGAGGAGTATAAACAACGTAATATGCCAAAGAAAATTAAATCCATTAAGTGAACTGCAAAGTGGTAAAATGCATGAATGGAAGAAAACGCCATTTGATAGACTTTTACATACAATGCTTCTTAACTCCGAAATAAACAAAGAAGTGCGTATAGAGCTGGTAAGTAATTGGTGTTTGTGTTAACGCATGACAAAACGGATGCTAGATGTCGTTTGCTAAGGTGACTTAACAAGATGAAGTCTAGGACCCTTGTGCCCAATTGACCAATGTAACAGTGTTTGCATCAGCCAATTATAAGCATTGCAACCACTTGAAAAGCTGCGTGGATTTTCGGCGCAGATCATATTAGCACAGGTTTTATCATGCTATTTTGGTGGGCAGTATACAGTTATGTAATTGTATCGCGTGGTATTTTTTCAATAACTCGGACCTTTTGTACTTATCACGGATTCACTTATAACCAATTTCTTCTATATGCTTATTTAGCGAGTATTTATGTCATCATATCCGTTTACTTTACTCGATATCGGCATTTTGAATGATTGGCTGTTGTTCGATATCCCCGGTGTGGCTGCGCTTGATGTACATGTTGACAAGGTGCCTACCTGTCTGTTACCCACTACCTCCTCCATACTGGCTCCAGGAGACAGTTGGTCCTTGCTGGAGGGGACGCGATGCATGGTCCTTGTGGCCGTGTTAGGCTCGAAGAGTGGTTCCATGCACTCAGTGTGGAGCGGACTACGGTCCAGCCACCGCCTTGTGTGCGCATGATTCCCAAATACAGCGTGCTTGTGTTTGTCTGTCAAGGAGTGTGGGCCTGCTCCGTTGATGAAACGTGGGCTCCCATCCGCATGCCTCCCGGTCTTATTCCTTCGGGTTTACACTGGATATGGGGTGTGTGGGTGGTGCAGCGCAAGCCACCCATAGTCCCTCTGTCGGCGCAGGCGTCCTGTGGCTCTCCACAGTGATAGGCATATGCGCACCCGGATGCCGCCAACCATTCAGTTATGTGCTTGTCTTTGTTTGCGTGTTTCAAGCAATGTATACATTTCACATGTTTGTGTTTTGTAGTAAAATGGAAAGCGTTAACGAGCTTTAAATGTATTGCCAAACAATATGGATTAATTAAGTTGCATGAGCTCCCCCATTTTACGTATGATATGTGATCTGGGCTCTCTTGAAATAGTTCATCAGGTGATCTTCCCTACAAACACAAGGTCATAACCCTGTTCAGAACGAGGTGGCTTCCGAGCTTAGTAAGAAACACTGTTGGGCTCTCACACACTATTTTGGTTGGGAGCCGGCTCCACGACTCTGCATATTTGAGTACAAAGAATGTGGACCGCATATTTGTTCCGCACGTTGGCCTAACCAGGATACAGTTCTTATTAAGAAGGTATTGAGTGGAACAGCCCTGCAAATACAATGTAGGCAAAATGCAAGTCCTTTGCCGTGAATCCGCTTGTACACAAAAATCAACTTATGCTTTGCTCTTTGCAGCAAAAACGGATTGGGAATTGTTGGTACCTATCCAGAAAGTTGAACAAGACCGCGGAGCCAGACAATCTTCCTTCAGTCCTCTTTAAACTTTGAGGATTTGCTCCTGCGGACGATTTGCACGAGTAATTAGTGAAAATGGGTGAGTAGAAAACTGTCCCAATGGACTGGATCCGCTCCGTTATTGTCCCCATCTTCACGTGTTGCTCACGTTTGGAATGTGGTTATCATAGAGGAATCAGTCTGAGCTCCATTACTTCCAACGTACTTGCCTACCTCCTCTTTCCCATACGGACTGGCTCTCGTGAAACGTCAGATTATTGAAGAGCAAGCCGGGTTTTTCGTCTCGGTCGGGCTGCATCGACCATATCCTCATTTTATATCAATTGTTGGGGCACCGTCGCATAAAGTGACGACCCACCGTTGTCGTCTTTCTCAACATTATAGGCGCCTTTGATTCGGTGGACTGATGTGCCCTTGGGGACTGCCTGTTTAGGAAAGGTTTGCCCGAGAAATACGTAAATTTAATAACAGCGCTTTACGCGTGTAGTTCGGACAGACTGAGGGTTTATGGCAAACTGTCCCTACTCTTCATTATCTCTAGCAGTTTAAGACAGGGATTGCCGCTGTTACCTTTCCTTTACAATTTCACTATTGATGAAGAGATAGTGATTACGTTTACTGGACACGGCTTAGAAGGTTTGGTCCTGCTCCCAGATGAGTGACTTCTTTACTTGGAGTATGCTGATGACGTTGCCCTCATAAGTGACAGCTCACAAAATACCTAGCAGCCAAAGACATATTAGCACTGGCTGTCCGCATTTTCCGGCTTTGCTTTGCGCGCTCGAAGTGTAAAACTTTCCAGCAAAGTGGGGAGGGCTCAACTTTTGCACTGATTCTTGGTAGGGATCAGCTTGTAGGCAGTCAAAATCTAACTACCTAGGCAGTTGCATCAGTACCTGTAGAATAGAAGACGAGATTACGAACGGTCTAGTAAAAGCTCGGTGTGCTTTTGCAAAGCTTTGCCACCTATGGCGCTAATGTAACATCACTCTCTCCTTGAAGAGTAGAGTGTAAGATACACTCGTATGTTCGATCTAACTGTACGGTTGTGAAACTTGAAGCATTAGGTCGGCAGACATAGGGAGGCTAGTTACGTCCGACCATCGTTGCCTTCGCAGTTTGACTCATACCTAGTGGGTATGCCATGTGAGCAATGAGCGTGTTTGACGCCTTGTCTGTCGCCAAGTAAGTGGAAGTGAATCGCTCGAGACCATTATTTCACGCACAAGGCTCCGATGGTTGGACAACGTGTTGCGCAGGCCAGCACACCGACTCCCGCGACGTGCGTTGTTTGCGCGCCAGGGGTGTGGATGAAAGAAGAGGAGGGATGGCCAAGCAATGACTTGCTCAAGAGGAATGAAGGCCCTCACTTCGAAGTTTGCCTCGGTTGGGGCCTCTCGACTCCCTGCTTGAAGTCCGAAAGATGATGAACACCTTTGGCTGGATACACTTACTGATATAGCTAGGAACCAACCTCAGTAGCGTTTATGTTGTGGGTTTCTTTGTCCATTCCTTTACCTTTTAGCTTCCCATCCAACCACGATCTTATGTCAGAAATATTATACAAATATTTTGCGGCAAAATAGCCGGCTGTTAGCTCTCCAGGACGATATCCATCTATTACTTCTGTCTCGGCTGGATTGCCTCTGTTACGTCTTTTTTCTTTACCAATGTATTATGGCACATTAGCTGCGGTGTTTCACAATAGCTAACATGCACAATATTTAAATGAATGGTCGATCCCGAAACTTTACTAACAGACCTTTGGTAAATGAACTCGATAGCATTTATAGCTGTTCAGTAAGGTTTATGCACGCTCCCACAAATTATACTGCAGTACTCCCATATGGGATGAGTGTGAATTTTATACTGTTCAACTCTGGTTTGGCTTGTGCGCACATTGTGAGATATATTAGCCAGAGATCATCGGGGTTGTTTAGAAAAGTTGAAGGGACAAGAATACTTTAATCCGGAATTGCTGGCCGACAGATGCATAGCTACACATTCTTAGTTGAGTGTGGTAGATACTTCGGGTATAAAACAACCGCGATACATGATACTTGACTTTTCGATGAGAATTTCATCATCCACTAAGCACGCCATGTCTCAACGGAAAGTAAGCGATCCTGAATGAGCAAAAGTATGTTCTGATATTCAGCTGGTTGGGGCTAATCGACAATCGCTGTATCTTCAGAAAATAAAAATAGCATGTCATGTTTATTAATCATAATGAATTCATCAGCATAAGGCAGGGACAGTAATGGGCGCAGTCCACTTCCTTGGATATCACTGCTAGAGACTGGTGGTGGGGAAGTGTGATGCTCATCTACGGTGACTATCAAAAGGCCGGTAACTTCGTCCTTATGTTTCGGAACCCGTGCCAGCAACGGGTACAGCTGTGGCTGGACCAACGTAGTCATGCTTGTTAAAGGCTCAGCTTTTACAACCTGTGAACATTTTGCCCTTCCTGTTGTTTGCAATACAGAAACACTTCCCACTTGGGGCACATTGTTGATAGACTTCCCTAAGGATGCAAACTGGTTTATTTTAATGGTCACGAAACTGCTGGCTTCCACATTTTCCTTGCGCATACAGTGAAGTGGATTGCGTTTTGTACTCCAACTGCATCAGCGAGATTCCTGTTCGTCCAGATGCAACGGTCGCTTACATACAATAGTTCGAAGCACATTCATTACTCACATCTGCCACACAGGCAGGAGGCATCAGTCGTACGCCGACACGCCGTACCGACGTTCCGATGCCAAGCGACCATCAACAGTCTCTCGCAGGCTCGATACTCCGCGATTTTGTCCTCACCTACGCGGACTCGAACCGGCGACCACAGGATTACAACGCCGGCGCGCAATTCTATCGGCCACTGACGGAGTGTGAAACCTGATGAGCTATGTCCCCCTACTTTGGTGATCTTTGTTTTTACATCGCATAGACGAAGGTCAGCATGCAAGAATAAAAGCCGTTCGAACTTTCTTCAGAAACGTATCCCAATCCGACACTTGCTTGGGTATAAAATAACAAAACGGCAAGACCACTTACCGTTCCAAGCTTAGCACCGCACTGCCTCATTATGTCGCACGCACTCAAGGAAATCAACTGCCCGTCTCATTGTTGGGTCATAGAGTACTCACCGTTTGGCTAGTTTGTGACATGCTATTTCAAGTGAGGTCACGGTACACTTTGGAGCATACCTCTTCCATGTCGATAGGGGGCCGCATCTCAACTGAAGAGTGACGGAGCTGCGTTCTCCCAACACAGCACTCCACGACCGACCGGTTTCGTCCTGCTTTGAACTCGTCAGGTAGAGATAGCTTGAGCTGTGCGGGAGTCCAACACATTGGTTGAAGGCATTCGTCTTGGTTACTAGGCCAGAGCTCCACAGATGTGCTTGACACAGCGGTTAGAAGTTCATGGCTTAGGCTTCGAGTACGCGCGAGTTATCTGGCTTGCGACACGCAATCTCACGTGGGGCCGCGTGTGGCGGAGCTCTGGCCTAGTGACAACAACGAGTTTGCTCCGACTTTCAGCTCAGGCTATCTCTACAAGAAGAGTCCAAAACGGGACGAAACCGGTCTTGTGATGTCGTTTTGGAGGATTAAAACTCTGAATCACTCCAGCTGCCTATTTCATGATAGGGAGTCCAATTTGGTACAACAACCAAGAGGGCCAGATGTTGACACAAAATGCACCGACCTCATCGATCAGACGTAGTACATTGTATTGAACTCTGCTCAGTATTCACAGTGCTCCCCCAGCCGAATCAAGGTAGATGTCAAGGTAGATGCCAGACCCCCAATGGATTTGTGTTTTCTGATATCAGAGCTACCAACGGTATCCTCCCGGAATTTTTTCAAATCACTATCATGAATCGTTTCTTGCACTCACTTGTGATTATGGCCTTGCGTATCTTTCATGCTACGTAGTGCATAATTTAAACTACTCGGTTTTCTCACATGGAACTAACAAAGTTATTGGTATTGTGGCGTTCACAGGACACAGCAAGGCAACATATCCTCGAGTCTATGTTCTCGTTGTGATCCGGCGATACCTTATAATTCATTCATAAAGCTGTCACTCAGTTTGACAACAGACGATTTCGCATATCAACCTGTAGAGATTGGTGTGACTTTTACTGTTACCAATGAGAAAAATAGTTGCTTTATCGATCGAAGTAATGAGTAAACCCCCAGTTTGGCTGGCTCCAGTAATTGGCTTAGAATTATGGTACGGTTGCAATGTGATTAGCTCAATCTCGTGAGCAAGAAGCATTCTAGCACTTTGAAATAGTTTCATGTTTTGTGCTCATGATTGGGAGATATTTTGATACTGGTACTGAAGAGTTCTTTGCAACTGTTCCCAAATCAGATCGACCTCCACTTGCACAGAAATTCAGCGCTCGTAACTGGCATGGCAGTCCAGTGACATAAGCTGCTGACTGCCGTTGCAGCCCTCTGTTGTACAGGGGATCGGCTCCTGATGAATTCGATGGTTGGGCGCTACTAACGAAACCCACCAGATCGAAATGACCGGGGCATGTGGAAGACCATCTGATTTGGAAGCTGTTACGAAGGACTCGTCATTACTCTCATTTTGTCTATACAACGCCTAATCTTTGACACTATTTAATATACACCCAGGAACAATTGAACGCTTACTCTCTAACTCTTTGTTACATTCTTAGAGACATCGGATGGCTGTGTACATGACAACGTTCTTACTACGAGACAACGTGCCCTTCATAAAACTCTTCATCGACAAAGGATTCGATCTGAAGCTGTACTTGACAAGCGAGACGTTGGAACAGCTTTACACGCTCTCGGTGTATCATGCGGTTAGTTGCTTTTATACTGAGAAATGCAACCGTGGTTTACTCCACAGAATTCCTGTGTGATGAGCAATGCGACAATTCTAAAAAAAGCCAAACATTTAAACAAAATAACGTCAACGGAGTCCCTAGGAATTTCACAGAGACTCAAATTTAGCCCACTTACCTAGATGTTATGGGGCGGTTTCATTACTACCTTGTTTATTTACGTGATTACGTCTTGTGGTAAACACTGGCACTACTGCGTAGCACAGGGTGAATATCATATTTTGGATCGTATTCTATAGATAATGATAGCGGAGAAAGATGGCACATGGTTAAGTTCATTACTGCACGGATTGTGCAACCGGAAATGGAAAATATCTTAGGTTCCTCCAAGTTGACTCATCTTTATGGCCAGCATTAGCTTGGCTGATGTCGTGGTTAAGTTTCCAAAAGTGACGCCATCTGTGGTTACAATGAACAATGAGTTATTGTTGGTTTTTCTATGAGTAGTGTGTTTTGTAGAAAGTAGAAGCCACGATTAAACTTTGCACAATAATCTGCCTCGACGGGAAATCGAACTCCGGACATACGGATTACCGGTCCGCTGCTCTACCGACTGAGCTACCGGTAGCTCAGTTGGTAGAGCAACGGACCGGTAATCCGTATGTCCGAGGTTCGATTCCCCGTCGAGGCAGATTATTGTGCAAAGTTTAATCGTGGCTTCTACTTTTTACAGAACCATGAGTTATGACGGGTAAAAATGCAGTAGCTTGACAGGTCACACAGGAGGGTAGGGGTAAAACTACAATCTCAAAAAATATGTGGGTTGTCCAAGCGTTGATGGGGCAGTTGCACCGCTGAATAACAGTAGTTCACATGAGAATTATATGCAAACACACAAAACAACATGCGGTCAGTTATAGAGCACTCCGTGAGAAAATTACAAAGCAAGAGCACTCACTTATGTACCGCCTGCTTAGGTCTATAGTTCATAGAGTTCATAGAGTTGTAGAGAGCAGAAGGGAAGACCCGTGTCAGCTCCATCACCTCCCGTTCATTGGCTGGATGACCTGTCGGTGCTAAACTGTGTTCCCCGAGGGATTGTTGCAGCTGCAGCAAAAACAGCGGAATCCAGACATGCTCAGCATGTACTTGTCCAATCGTTCTTTAAAACATTCCTCTGTCCGGGCACTTACCACACATTCAGGAAGATTGTTCCACTCATTTACAACCCGTGTGGATAACGTGATATCGGACCGGATATGGTTCCGCCGAGGTTTGAAAAGTTTCAAGCTGTGGCCCCGTGTTGAGCAATCTGTGTTGAGCTGGAAAAACTGCAGCAATTCCTTCCTCAAATCGCCCCTTAAAGTGCGTCTAGTATAAATCAAATCACCACGGCGACGGCGGTAGTCCAGAGTAAATAAGTTCATGCATTGGAGACGAAGGGGATAAGGTAAAACACGTAGCATAGACACAGACTTAGATCCGCGCCTCTGGACCTTCTCAAACAATTCACATTCAAATTTCGTGAGTGGCTGTATGGCAGGTAGGCCGTATTCCAGTATTGGACGAATGTGGGAGGAAAACAGGAGCCTGAAGTTCTGCGGAGTCAATTTGTAAAACGACCTTCGTATGGTACAGAGCATCCTGGTGGCAGATGCTACCTTCCGCAACGTGTCCTGCGTTGTTCTTAGGTCTGGAGAAATAAGTACACCCAAGTCCTTCTCACCAACCACATTCTTCAACAGAAAACCATCGATGTGGTAAGCACCGAAAGGTTCCTGATCACCGATCGGGAGAACACAGCACTTATCACGGTTGATAGGCATTTGCCACTTGACCAACCAATCGTGCAGCAGATCGAGCGTCAGCTGCAACCTGTCAGCATCTTCAAGCCTGGATACTTCCGACCAAAGTTTAAGATCATCAGCATAGATCAAGCAGTCTATTTGGAGCACCACCGGGAGATCGTTGATGAAGATTTTGAATAGTTCGGGACCAAGTACGGAGCCTTGTGGAACCCCACTGGTCATAAGAACAGGAACAGAGTCGACTTCGTTAACTCTCACCTTCATACTATGGTTATCTAGGAAATCCGCGATCCAGGCGAGCAACTTACCAGCGATGCCAGTCTGCCGAAGTTTGCTAAGAAGTGTCTTGTGTGGAACCCTATCAAACGCCTTGCTAAAATCCACAAAAACTACATCAAGTCGATGACCAGCATCTACTGACTGCGCCCATTTTTCTCGGGCAACACGCAGATTGGTAATGCAAGAGCGTGCCCTCCGAAATCCGTGCTGAGCAGGAGAGATGACGTCCAATTTCTCAAGGTGAAGATGCAAGGCCTGTTTCAAAATCCTTTCCATGGTTTTACAGAGGATTGCTGACAGGCAAATCGGTCGGTAGTTCACTGGATCTTGGCGATTCGCACCTTTGTACATGGGTTTCACATTTGCTTTCCATTTAGTTGGGAGCTACGAAATACCTGACAAATTGGTGCAGCAATGAACTCCGCCACCTCTTTGAGGACCAAGGGATGTAAGCCATCGGGACCCGGTGAAGAATTCGAGTTCAAGTCCAGAAGCAGTTCCAATACTCTATCAGAGGTAATTTCAACATGCTCTAATGGAGAGAGGTGACAGGAAGTGTCCTCAACAGCTAATGGCGCCTCCGTCGTATACACAGAAGAGTATTGCGAAGCTAGTAGACAAGCTTTCGCCATGTGGCATATAAATCCGGGTTAAAGGCATAATTACAGTGGAACAATGAAACAACGATATATCACGGGTACAAAATACGGAGGCTTAGCAAGTCCTGTAGGATAGCCAGCACAAGAACCACAACGTGGTGAAAAGACAACAAAGTGATAAAATGAAAATTGTTTTGGTGGACTCACTACAGTGTTAACACATAGGCACGCAGAAAGAGCCATCCTCAGTTGTGTAGGTTATTTCTGGTTGTGCAGGTTTCGTCACATTATATCGTCTGTCGAAACACAGGTTATAACTCGTAGTGTAGGTGGGTTAAGACAATATCAAGGCGTTTTTAAAGCACAGGTAAAGTGGGGGCGGAAACCGCCTAATTTGGATGGGCGTTTCATGGCTGGAACACATGAAGAGAGTAAACGTTTCGCCATTTTAACCAACCCTACTGCGTGATGAAGGTAAGCTGGTGGCCTTTCAAATTCGTTTTGTGGCTCAGGTGCAGTACGTGGCGGCCGACGTGTTTGGCGTTCCTAAGAGTCTGGTAGGCCATACTAAGGTCGCCACGTAGGCGCCCGTACCGGCCGCAGTATAATTTTCGGGTGCTCAGTCCAAGTTGATAAGAAAGAATGAACAACACTTTGACGTGTTTCGTGGCTCGCCGCTGTGGAGTCTCGAGCGCTGTTTGCTTGTCCCAGGGATGTCAGATCTGTATTGCATATTCCCCATGAGTCCGCACGTATGTTTTTAGCAACCGCGAACAGGCAGAGGAAAAAAACTACACAAATGCCCTCCGTAGCGTGCCAATGTGTTGGTTTCCGGTCTTTGACTACTTCTCGGACTGTTCTGAACAGCCCAGATCAGCCTGGACTAGTGCCCCAACGTCGCGCTCCCAGGTGACTGCTTGCATGACATAGTCATGAAGGTAGTATGTGATGTTCGGCTGGTGGCGAATGTGCACCACCTCACACTTCCCCGAAGTGAACTGGAGCAGATTGTGCAGTGACCCCCATACGCTCTGTCCAGGTCTCGCTGAAGTGCATCGTGATGTGCAGCGTCAGCGGTCATCCTCCACATCTTAACATTATCAGGGAACGGCAAGAAATCTGAGACAATCAAACGCGAAAGGTCGTTAATGAACACCACAAACTGGCGGGGCCCCAGAACCGATACTTGTGATACCTCGCGTTCGACATAAATCGGATTGGACAGCGCACTTCGAACTCTGCTCTGCAGTTGCCGATTCTGAAGAAAATTCCTGATCCACCCAAGGACAGGATCTCTAACTGCGTAGCTTTTGAGCCGGTGAAGCGGAATGCGGTGGTTCCGTCGGTCGAGGGCATTGGAAAAGTCGGCCGCTTCCGTCCAACTACTGTGTGCAATCAGCAACTTGGTAGCAAATGAACGGTGTTGGCGAAAACCGTGTTGCTAGGGTGTTATGATGTTGTAGCGTTCTAGATAGTCTGCAAAAACCTCAGCGATGATTGCCTCCATCACCTTTGAGAGACCAGGGAGCCGGACCACTGGGCAACAGTTGGCGCGTTCCGAGAGATTACCGCTTTTGAAAATTGGCGTGATTAACTCATGTTTCCACATGGTAGACACAATGTGCTTATTCAAGCACGTTTGGAAGAAATGCGATAATGGTCCGGCCAGCGTTGATGCTGCTACCTTCAGCGCACACGGGTGAAGATAATCGATTCCTGGGGGAAAGTTGTGGGTACGTAGTGAAAGCAGTTTCTTCAATACAGCTGTGACAGTAAAATCGATGTTGGTGAGTGTTGGAATAGAGGTGATGGATATGGGGATGTAACGGTGGCAAATGTCTCTTTGGCAGTTTGGGGCATACTGCATCCGTAGGGCGTTGGCTGCATCTTCGACACTCTGTGCCACTCCGACTGGCGTGTTAAGTGATGGGATACCGATCTTCACTTTCCGGATGGTGTTAACCTGCTTGTATATGAGCTTTTCGTCGTTGGCAAATTTACAAGCCAAATAATGTTGGCGAGTCAATTTACCATCACGGACAAGCCTGTTACAATGACTGGGTTGCGTTACGTAATCGCTCCAACTTTGGGGACCAGAACGAGTACTTTAAGTGTGCCAAGCTGTATCCCTTGATGACATGCTTTCGCGCGTTCTACTTTTGATGAAAGACGAGGGATTTTTAGAGCGAACCCTCTTCGTTTCTGAAGCAGTTGTGATTAGATTGCTGAAGCGTCCAACAAAATGAATCCAGGCGCTGTCAGGTGAGCCAGCTTTCAAGAATTCTCAATCAGTCGTCTCAACTAGGTCGTTTAGGATGTTGTAATGTGTGCT